CTGTGTGCCTGCCTGCCTGCCTGCCTGCCTGCCTGTTAATGTGTTTATTATTGAGGGAGGGTGTGGAGGTGGAGGGTGGCAACAGTTGGCCCCTGTGTTGTCACGCGTCACGGCTATTTGTTTTCTGATACGGCTCAAGTGTGTATGCAGAGTCGCGGGGTGGATTTATTAGCTTGTCAATGAGTGTCGTTGTATTTCATCCAAACCCTTCCCTTTCCCTTTCTCTCTCTCTCTCTCTCTCTCTCTCTCTCTCTCTCTCTCTCTCTCTCTCGGACTGTCTCACTAGTTCCCATTTTGAAATTCTTTGTGTTTGTTTTTCATCTCTTCTGAAGGCACACCTATAGCTCAGTAGGTATCAAACTGGAATACGGAGCAGATGACCTTAGTTCGAATCCCTCACCAGTTATTCTGAACTTGGGTTGTTTTGGGGAGTGTTTAAAGTTTTCAAGAGGGCTCTCGTGGCCTAGAGGTTAAGGTATTTGCCTCTCATTCAACAGGTCCCGGGTTCGAATCTGGCTAGTGGCAAAACATTTTCTTCTCTAAAATTTTCTGTTTTCACATTTTTTCCTGCTGTCTAACAATGTTCTGTCGTCTGCTTTCGTCTCCACTTTCTCCTATGACATTATGTAGCCGCGAGCTCCGGAAAACACTCATGTAAAAAAACCAACAACAATTCAACCCATCTGACTTGGTCCTAGTTGATATGGACGTAAAACGGAGGTCCAACCTTTTAAATTAACTCACAGTATTGAAAGAGGCATAAAGCCTATACAATAAGCAACGACCAGTATCCTATTCTGAGACTTCTTGTCCGGTGTACGTGGTGCTGCTGTTATGAATATTATACTCAACTTTGTTGCGTGCAAAAGACGTCAGTCAGATGCCCAAGTAGGGACGTGTTTTTTTTGTTTTTTGTTGTTTTTGTTGCTATTTGTTTTGTTTTGCTTTGCTTTGTTTTGTTTTACGTAGGCACATATACCTCCTTAACTCTGCTGAGACTGAGATATTCTATCCCACTCAAACAGGATTGATCTTAACAAAACAGGTCAAAGCAACCGGCCTACCAAACGATCTTTATTTTGTCGATGGGGGCGTTAAACACTTAAAATGGATATATAACAGTAAAAGTGGGCATTCTTGTTAATGTTAATTGGGCCCGGTGCTGAATTCTCCCTAACAAGTTCACAAAGTACACCAATCAGTGTCGATTAATGAAAACCTTGTGATGCCACCGGAGTCAAAGTCAAGTCCTGATATCTTCTTGCTAAAACAAAAGGCTTCTGAACGCCGGAGGTAAGCAATGGCTTGCTACTGATCAAATCGGTACTTCAGAATTACAAAGATCTATCTGACATTTTTGGCAGTTTTGAGTTACTAAAACCTTGAAGTCAGAAACCAAATGTCCTAATCTGCTTTATCAAAATCGTAAGATTACTCGGAATCATAATCAAGATATCCAAAGAACTGCTTTCGAAAAGTCATGACATGATTTGAAACTCAAAATCTTTGACGTCAAATATCTCAAAACTTGGTACGTTGCAGATGGAGCTTTGTAATTCTAAGGTAGAGAAATGTTAACGTTTTGGGGCTCGATTGACACATTTTACCAGGCCGAAGGGCGAGAACTCAGATGGTCGCTGGATCGGAAAAGTAAAGTAAAGTATCGACACATTTAGATTAGTTTTTCTTTCTTTCTTTCTTTCTTTCTTTCTTTCTTTCTTTCTTTTTTCTTTCTTTCTTTTCTTTCTTTCTTTTCTTTCTCTCTTTCTCTCTTTCTTTCTCTCTTTCTTTCTCTCTTTCTTTCTCTCTTTCTTTCTCTCTTTCTTTCTCTCT